TTAAGTCTCAGCAAGCACTAAGGGGAAAGATTAGAGACGAATTTCAAATATAGGAATAGAGGAGTACTTGGGAGGTAAAAACTCAAAATTTACACACTATCTTAGTTCAAATCTTGATAATTCTTTGGAATTACATCATGAGTGATTTATTATTCATGAGTACCCTAGTTCCTGTGTGGATAACTTACCTTTGATTGGACAAAAAAAAATTAGTTAAGATATGCATAAACTAGCCTAGATATCGATGGTGGAAGAGCTTGGTCATATGTGTACTTACAAAAATTGTATATGGGCCGGTGTGAGAAGTGAGGTCTTGCTTGACTGGCCCAGCAGTGCGGAACTCATTACTCGCTGTTATCATCCAAAATCCTATGGATGGGTCGGAGCATATCCACCCGTGAACCCGACTATCCTTGTTATCACTCGAGTATTGGTACTTGTCGTCCACCTGAATATCGTAATATCAAATCACATTAAGTTTAAGTTGAATATGTACAAATTAATTTGTCCAACCTCCTAAAACACAAGAAAATAAAATTTGGATAATTTCAATCTAAATTCTCGTCAAATTCAATCATCATTTTCAATTCATTGACCCCGGCGATGATTTTATATGTGGAACACTAAATATGGTTCACGGCTCACGGGCTGGACCAGAAACCCAAGGGCGCCCTGTTAGTCCAACAAGTAGGGTTATGGGCCTTTGTTGGCCAGACAGAGATGTTTGGCCCATAACCCAATACATCTCACCACTAAATTCCAAAAAAAAAATATGTTGGAACAGATTTGTTTCTTTTATTGACGCACTGGGTAAGCCCGGTTTGGTGTAAGACCGACCCGACCACCATAGTTATGAAACACAATGAATTTATATGATGGATGATTGAACTTTAACGGACCTTAGCAAAATTTGAAATTGAGAGAATGAGGATCAACAAACAAGCCAAGTTGTTACGATTCCACAACATAAGTAGGCGAGTGAAATAAAAGGCTCTCTTACCTCTCCTTTGAGGAATGGATTTTCTGGATTTGTTAGTAAAACAGCTTCTTTGTAGTCGAGGACCTGACCTGTTTGACGGTCTTTGTACATTGGCATTATCCTTTGCCTTTCATCCGATATAGCCATGAACTGAAACCTAATTATACAACACATTATCATTAAACATACTATAGTAAGAAGTGTAATGTGATAAATATAACAATTAAGAGAGCAACATGAGACAAACACACATAGATAGTTAAAGCGGTTAAAGTATAATTTATCAAAAATTCAAATTGAAAAATTTTCTGTTCTTGTTGCTAGTAGGAAACAAACAAAAAAAGGAAAAATGTTTGTGGGTAATCAAGCATATGATAATAGGCCTGTAATTAAATATGTTTTACGCGAATAAGTAAACAAAATAAAAAATAATAATGCTGATGATGATATCATAATGAATTATTATTCTTAATATAATAATTTGTGTGTCATACATGTTTTCTTTGAGCTTGAATACAATCCTCCCTTCGTACATATTTATGTCAGGCCATCCCTCTAAGCGCTCAAATATTGCATATGAGTAGAACCCTGGAGACCCACGCAACACTATAAACCTACAAAATGAGTAACAAAAAGTTGTTCGATAACATTTTTTTTTGAAGTAAGTTTCTATGCAAAAAAATAATTGTCATAAGAGAGAAAAAAAAATGTACAATCACTACATTAGAAGAGCGATTTACATAAAATAGAGAATATAAATACTATTGGGGATGCGGTTAAATATAAGAGAAATGTGTTCGTCCGAACGAGAAAAAATAAATAAAAATGCTAAAAGATGTCACTTAAAAAAAAATACTTGAAAAAGGACGACACTAAATAGTAAGTATATATATACAATACCTTTTGTCTATATTGAGGGGAAGTCCGGTATCATTGAGGGAAGGGTCCCATGTTTTAGTAAATGAAAGCTCTATTTGATCTTCATCTTCCATTATAACATTGAACGTCGTGCCTTCTACCCTGCAAAACACCCACTTAAGCAATGCTGGTTTAAAAAAAAAAAAGGACTTCTCCTCTCAAAGCATGAGCCCTTTCCCACTTATTGCATGTTCTCTTTGATGGGGGATAATTATGCTTGTCAATGGATCAGATTTATATCGGGGTTTTCCCACTCTAAATACAAACCCAATCCAATTCATATATTTGACAATTTGAAGTCTGGTTCAAAATATTTGATACGGGTAACTTAGTTGCACCGAATTTTGAAAAATTACCTACAAATTTTGATACAAATTCCTCACATTACTATTTAGTTTTATCATTATAGTAAAATTCAAATCAAAATTATAATCGGATTGGATTTTTTATATCCAAATTCAAATCGATTTGCTGGTCAGAAGTTTGTTCAAATCCATATTTGGATAAACGATTTCGAATCAAAACTCAATCAATTGACAAACTTGGTGCTAAGCAATGCATGCCTTTTTAAACCACATACAGAACTTACTTGTCAAAAATGTCGTTGGGATGCTCTGGTGGCCAGGTATAAACGAGATTCCAATACCTGCATTCATTAAAATCCAACCAAACTGTAAGGATGGAGAAATGTATAGTTCTAGATGGATCTGTTTGGAAAATCTACTCTTGTGTAGGCCCGAGAATTATAAATACGACTCGCGAATACGATACAAAATTAACAAAGGTAGATTTAGTTCTAACGTATTTGGGTAGTAAAAAAATGAACTTGTTGTACCAGTCAAATAGTGGGTTGACATGAACTTTCTAAACATAGTCTATACATGACAAGAAATTGACAATATTGGATTATAAATGAATTTAGGTATGAATTAGACAAAATTTTGACCCGACACGGCCCCTTATCCATCGTACTCTTGGGTGCGCAATCTTTGGAAGAATATTCAAAAAATTATAAGCACCTACCCTCTGTCTGTTTCTGTATTACTGTCTTCCAATAAATTGTCTATTTCTTTGTACTGTATCCCTGTGACCATACCCTCCGGCCTCGAGAAAGTTAACCGAACTATGCCATTGTCCACCACCACCTGAAAAACAGAAACAAAAATATATACTGGTCATTACATTATCTTAGGAAGCCGACTTTAGCAGAAAATAAAATTTTGACAATTCATAGGTCAATTTAGCCTAAGTGTGCTCCCACGCACACACGTATATAAATTCTAAACAAATGACTTTGATTCTCTTTAATTTATGTCACATATTGCGAAGTTTAAATGATAATTAAAAGATATTGAAAATGCAATTTTACGTGGCTATCTTGAAGTTGTAATTGGACGGGAGAAGATGGCACCATGTCGTCGTCGTTGTTCCTCGTAGTTCCTCTACAAATTTTAACAAAAGAAAGAACAAATTGTTTATGACATTTAAAATAAACTTAAATTTAGCAGATATAAAAGGTGAAGATGTTAAGGTAGAGCATACATATATATAAGGAAGGACATACATATTTTGTTGTGTAAAGTTGATTTGAGGTAGGTGGAAACATCACGAGAAATTAGAATGTAACTTTTTTTAACTTTTTGCGAGGACATGTTCACAAGAGTGTATTGTGGGGGGAGAGGGTACAATATGTCACTTTCGCTAAGTTCTAAAAATACCGTGAAGACTCTCACGAAAAGGTAAAGAGAAGACATCAGAAACAACAGAGAAAGAGAGAGAGAGGATGTTCTTCCCGCGTAATTGCACCGGCAATAACGGTTACATAAGAAATAAAGTCTGCACAAATTCATGTGGTAAATATTACCACCAAAGGATAAGGCTAAATCAACTAACACACACTTCGATTAATCAGCTCTTCAGTCTGGTCAAAAAAAAGTTGTTCACGTCGGGAATAAGATAATCATGAGCGATTGTCAAGATTCGAATTCAAGACGTTTGAGTTTACAATTAGTTTTTGTTACTACTTGAGCTATCCTTTAAAATTATAGGTTAACTTTACCAAAATTAAAATAACATCCTCATATGAATTTTCTCTCATCAAGTAATTTATGAGTTTTTTTTTTTTTTTTGCAGGAAAAAGTTGAGGGTTTAGTACATGGGAAATTGGTTTTTTTTTTTTTGGGGGGGGTCTATTATTTCATTTTTTCCTTTTACGAGGAAAATAAATAGACCTTTCTTTAAGGAAAAAAAAAAGTGTGGAAATAAAGACAAAAGCTAAAAACAATGGGGGAAAATTACATATTTTGGTTGTCTTCTTCACAAGCTACTAGCTACTTCANACCTTTCTTTAAGGAAAAAAAAAAGTGTGGAAATAAAGACAAAAGCTAAAAACAATGGGGGAAAATTACATATTTTGGTTGTCTTCTTCACAAGCTACTACCTACTTTAGTTTCAACCTGGATTACTGAAATATATTTTACAGTCTACACACTAGTCATTTAAACGATTCATTTCTCTTACTGGTTGAAACAGAAATGCAGAAAAATTAATGGTGTTTCTCAAATATAGATGGCGGTATAAGTATACAGATGATAAAAAGCAAGAGATGAGTAAGAACCTAACTGCCTTCTCACGGCACATTCGGTAAGCAAGAACAAGTGAAAGATAATTCCAAGCCACCCGAAAAGCGAACCCCATTGCATCTTCCAACCCATCTTCTTCATTTCAATACAGTCCATTACACCTATATACAACATAAAATCAACAGGAAGAAAAAAAAATAACGCCAAAATTGGGCAGACAAACATATAAACAAATGAAATAAACAAAAAATCGAAGTTTAAGAATGCTGTAGTAACATTGACAAAACTTACCTCCGTAGAAGAATACGTAATATGTGTGTGTTTCTACTAGGTGCTTTTGCTCGATATTGTTTAAGAGCTCCTTGGAATGGGTTGGTTTTTGTGTGTAATTTAGCTGGTATTGTAATATTATAGGCAAAAGTGTTTTTGGAAAGTAGAAAAAGGAAATGTGGAAGCTACAACAAGAGAAAGTGGTTCAAGTCCGTTACAGAATCCTTGCTGAATTTCATGCATACATATGATTTCAAAAGGTTAAATTACATATATATAGATATATTATGTATGTATATATGTATGTATTTGTGACATATTGAATGATGAATTAATGTGTAATAACCAAAGTTAAAGCTATGAAGACTAACTTTTTTCCTGAGTTGGGTGTTAGGTATTTAAGGTTGACTTCTGCAAATTTGTTCGGTCAAGCGAGTAGAAAATGGAGGTTCCTGGACATAGAATTTACTAATATTTTTAAGTTTATGCTAGAACTACACTTTGACCCCCATACCTACAGAATTATTTCACTTTTGCCTCTTGAATTATTGAATTTTTTAGCTAACTATTTCAATTACTTTGACACTTTTCAAACGCAAATGTCCGTTATCTTTTGGAAAGAATATGACAATTTGTCGGGGCAAAGCGACACAACATTATATAGTTTCGGGGCAAAATGAAATAATTTTTTGCCAAATTTATAACAAATGTTAATAATTTGAGCAATATGAAACTAATAATATATAGTTTAAGGTACAATGTAAACAACATGATAGTTGAGGGAACAGTGTAAAAAGAAAGGACAAATTGAGAGAATCAAAGTGTAAGTTGCCCTAAATTTATTTGTACGTTTTGGTAGGTTTGTTGGTTTCATGGTCTATGTTTCAACTGCGACACGATGGAACTGTTAAACAACTTGCATTAAAAATGAAATTGAACCACTGATTCTTTGAAAGGCATTTGGGCAGTTGGACTAATCTTTGACAATTACTATCAAATGGGGTTTGGACATATGGCACAATGGGCTGAACTATAGAAATTCAACAAAGAGATTTATCTACAACATAGTGAATATATTATCACCCGCAATTCTTATCGAGATTCATCAATCCGGCAAAAAAATGTATATAAAATGATTGAGCGTGATTTTGGTCTTAATGAATTTCGGATCATAAACTAGATCAATCCCATCAAACCCTATGCATAAATGGTCAGCACGAATACAACTACGCACGACTTATATATGATTAGACAGCGGAATGAACATAAACTACTAAAATAAATGGTATATATGGGCAAATTTTGATACAATATGACCGATTCTGAATTTGGTGAGAACCCTATTAGTTAAGGGTGTTCATTTGTCCCAAAAAAAAAAAAGGTAATGGCATTCTTAACAATTTGATAATGTTGGTATTTTTTATTTGGCAGCTGCTTTGTTTGATTGATGTATTAGAAATACAAGGGCAGGTGGGACTTGTGAGTTAAGTTTGTTTGGGTCATTAAAGTTTGGCCTTTGTGCTTTAAAATCTAGTGTTAAAGTGTAATTAAGAATATATATATATATATATACGAATGTTATACAAGATTACTCCCTCTTTATTCTCTGTGGTCAAAGATATAAAAGTTGAAGTAATGATGGCATTTGAACTGAGGTTGTCTTTTGTTCGAAAAAAAAAAAAAACTGAAGTTGCCTTTACTTCGTGTTTACTCTAACACCTAATTAAAAAGTGTTCAAATGGTCATCTTTTCTTTTAACCGCTTAGAAAAATATTATAAATCATCTTTGCTTAATCGTTTGATCATAAATTACCAAAATAATGGAGCTATATCAACATTTATCTAGCTCCAAAAGTCACACACACACAGATATATATATATATATATATATATTGTCAAAAATAATAAAATCCGTTTGAAGTTGATTTTTTTAAGTGTGAAACAAATGTTTAAAAAGTGAAATGAAAATGTTAGAGTTAAAAAAGTTTTTGGTACCATTTGAGTATTTTCAAAAAAATCTGTTTTTTTTATAAAAACTCTTGAATAAGCCTCATTTTTCAATTTTTCCTTAATTCTGATAAAAACTATTTTTACCCCAAAAAAAAAACTGATGGAAATGCCCCCCCCAGTATGTTTACGTCCAAATAAACTAAACTTTTTTTTCTCTATAACAAATAAATAAATAAAATTTTCAGTTTAACCCAAACAGACTCATTGTAGCTCCAAAACGATTCCTTTATAGTTGGTGGAGTTTGATCTGGCTTGGATCAGTATCGTGTGATTCTAGATTAGAACTGCACAACTTCAACCTATGCCCAACTCGAGGCACATTCCGAGTGGGGGCAATATGGTCCAGTGCGGGATCAAACTCCACCAACAATAAGGAAGACGAATGAATAATGTTATGCTTGTCAAACATATTTACAAAATTCTCTATATCAATTGAGGTGTCAAAATGATTAGCATTGATATTTTTATGGAACCTACTTTTTAGGTCCCAATTGAGGTGTCACGTAGATGAGGTGTCTAATACATACGAATGCCCATCTAAAATTTTACAAGAACATTCTCAAAGGGAACTTGTGACAAAACTGATTTATGAAACTGGCCACTGTGACAGATCTTGAAGTGACTATCAATATGTCACGTGACAACTACACTTTTTTGTCCGCAGTGAATTGGGTTGTCCGATGCTAAAAACCACCTCCCGTGACCTTCAAATTCAATGCACTTTTTACTTGCTAGGATTCCAAATTTTAATTTCTTTTCTAAATTCTTCAGAGTACAACATTTATTTACTTTCAAGTTTAAATTTTGGGGCGAATCCTAACATTTAAAATCGAAAAAAGATTAGAGATGTCTGAGATTTATTAGGAACTTTGTAACGATTTTTCAAGTTACTTAAGTTCGGGTCAATTTTAACTAGTTTAAATTAGTTCATATTAGCGATAAAATTATTCAAGTTGAATCCAATTAATGTGTCACAAAGTTCTATGAGTTGAACTCAACTTCTTTAGGATGTAATATATAAATATTTTTCGTGGTGAAAAAATTTTAAAAAAAAAAATTTGGTGGTGTTCTTAGCCTAATGTATAATGTTTTGATTGTAAACTAAAAACTGCATGTTCAAGTCTCATTAGGTGTGTATTTTTGGGATTTACTCGAGTTTGAGCTCAAAGTATTCCGAACTCATAAAACTATAAAACAATTCAAGTCGAGTAGTGCCCATAACTAAACTTTAGTCGAACTTAAGCTTATGATAATCAAGTCGAGTCCAACCTAAGTGTGTCACACAGCTTTTTGAGCTGAACTCTAACTTCTTTATGGTATAAATATTTTTCTTGACAAAAAAAAAATGAAAAAATTGTGGTATCCTTAGCCCAATGTACAATGCTTTGACTTCTAAGCAGAAGGCTCTATGTTCGTGTCTCATGTTTATTTTTTGGATTCAATCGAATCTCAGCTCAAATTCACACATTTAAATCTAAAATTAATTTGAGTCGTGTAGAACCCATAAGATCCAAAAATTGAGCTAAGCTTAATAAAAAATTTATTTCGCCAATTTTTGTTTCTTTTTTTGAGCTCAGCAACTAAACTCAAGTCGAACCCAAGTCATTCAAATGTCGAAGGTTTGGCCGAATTTCATAGCTGAAATGTCATTTTTCTTTAGCTAGAACAATTAGTTGGCAAGTTTGATTAGGCAAAGCAGCAGATAGACACAGGTCTAATTGTACAAGATATGAATTCGTGTCTACTTATTGCATTTGTAGATGGTATGCAATAGTGGTTAAGCCTGTGAATGGATGATACTTTTTTAGACTCTTATCGTGTTGAAGTCGTGTTGTGTCAAAATTTATTCAAACTATACCTGATTTATTTATAATCAAGCATATTCAGGTTCGTGTCATGTATAAGACATGTTTAGCTAGAGCGGAGTTTATGTTAACTAAATTTGCTTGATAGGGATTGACGGGCTCGGCCCAAACCAGGCCCAATTTATAAATATAGGTCAGTCACAGCTCATAGATGCAACCCAACCCAGACTAAGCCCAACTTACATGTGCAGCCAAGCCCAAATCAGAAATACAAACCAACGAGGATCAAGCCTATTGTTTTGGAAAACTCAATCTACTAGTGACACACGTGAGATCTTCATCTTAGGAAAAGAATCAGAGTACGTATCGCAAGCCTCAACCACCTCATGTGTTACGCCTGTTGAACAATCTAAAGAAATACAAAATATAAGAAAAGATGAGACTAGGGTTTTATTGATACTGCATAATTCAATTGAATACAAGGAAGTAAATTAACCTAAATACAAAGAGACTATATATAAGCTAAACAAAGCAAGAAAAATAAAGGACTATTTTACCCTTAATAAACAAAATAACCTTATATTTCTTAACATCTCCCCTCAAACTCACGATGCAGCAGCGACAAGCATCGAGAGTTTGCCAACTAGAAAACGAAAACGGGAAATAGAATGCGATTTGGTAAAGAAATCTGCAATCTGCAAAGAAGAAGAAACAAAGGGCAAAGTATGGTGTCATGCTTGAGATGATGACGAGTAAGGTGACAATCGATCTCAATGTACTTAGTTCGTTCATGAAAAACTGAGTTGTGAGCAATCTGAATAGAACTCCGGTTGTCACAATACATAGGAGTGGGATGAGAAAGAGAAACTTCTATATCTGCAAGTAACCAACGTAACCAAACAATCTCTTCGGTAATAAATGTCATAGCACGATATTCTGCTTCAGTTGAAGATTGAGAAACAATAGATTGTTTCTTACTCTTCCAAGAAATAAGAGAATCACCCAAAAAGATACAGAAATCAGTAACAGA